CTACCATTATCACGGCCACCCTGGATGCTAGTAAATATAAAAGTTATGGGAGACTGTAACAACTTACTCTCATAATTTACCTGAGGGAAAAGGGAAATTCTTTCATTTGTTTGTCCTGTCATGAGTTATATCAGGGAATCAGTTGATGCGATCAGGGAATGATGTCAGATCAATTACTGACTGACTGTACTCTACTGAATGGACTGCTGGAATGACCCACTTATCTGTGAGTGTGAGGACTTCAAACAGACACACATAACTTTACATCATCATGATCATCATCATGATCATCATCATCAACATCAAATATTTAAAGGAAATCAAATAAGGCAGGTGTAATAAACTGAATGTACATGGGGACCGGCACTGCCAGATTTCTTATCCATTGCCCTAGATGTAACCTATGTCATCTTATCATTTATATGTTTTCTGTTTCTGTTGAGCTTGCTGAATTATTATTTTAAATGTAATAAGACATCATTTTACAGCATCTAACAAGAATATTACAATAACAAGATTAGGCAGAGGCAAATCAACCAAATCCCACCCAAACATCCAAATAACACTGAGCTTGGAACAGCCCTGGTAGGATTCTAATTATCTCATCACAGTAGACCTGACAGGGATAACTGGGCCTCTCTGCATCCTCTGCACACATGCGCCTCATATTTTCTCACAGCTAAGTTTTACGCTCTGAATATTTGGAGTTGTCAGACAAGGTCAGGCAGCGGACATTATCATTATAAAAGCGAGCGAGCGAGCGAGGGTGAATATTTAAACTAAAACAGGAGGATTACATTCCTATACCGGAGATGCACACAGAAGTTGGAGAAGATGGATAATAATAAAAGATGGCATAGGATATAATGAGAACCAACAATTATCTCTTTCATGAAGAGAGAGAGAGAGAGAGAGAGAGAGAGAGAGAGAGATAAAGATTGAGAGAGGGAGGGAGTGGGAGAGAGAGAGAGAGAGAGAGAGATAAAGATTGAGAGAGGGAGGGAGTGGGAGAGAGAGAGAGAGAGAGAGATAAAGATGGAGAGAGGGATGGAGGGAGGGAGGGGGAGAGAGAGAGAGAGAGAAAGATGTGACAAGTCGAAAAGAAGGAGAAATGGAATATGGTTACGGGAGATAAATGAAGTCAGAGAGGAGTTTGTTCATCAACACTGTTGGAATTTGGTTTAGAAATGACCAACAGGTTTTACTCCTTGATGTAATACACAAATGGTACCAAATTAACATTTAATTGATTTCGATGCATCATCATCATCAAACTATGGTATATGCAATCATTAGTTTGATCGTTCTCGTAATCCACTCTACAACCTTCAATGATTGCATCAATTTAGGTGCACAATAAGAGAATGTATGGCCATGGCAATGGAGATTACTTGCATTAATGTGCATGAAGAAACTCTTCCTTGCTACAGTACAGCTGCGAGGGGGCTACATATTGGAATTCAGAAGGAATAAACAATCACCGAACTGCGTGTAATAAGTGACAACCAATGTATAAACAATGCTAAATCAATATAAATAATTTGCTCATTTTACTCTAGTGCAGCTAGCCTCGTTATAATCCAATTAAAAAACATCCCATAATAAATAACACATTTCTATCCTTTGAAGAGAATCGGATGTAAACGATAAATTAAATTGAATAAACAAACAGAGAATAATAAGGTGAAAGTGATAGACTGACAGCTTGTGAGATGACCTTGTATTCCCCTTGCAACGACACAAAAATTCTTCTTCTGATTCTTCATGGCAAGACATTGATCTACATTTGCCACTCTCTACCCAGGTGTAAAATGGGTACCTAGTAGGATGCGAAGGTTAATGTGGTTAGATGAGCAAGTGTGCGCTTGTAAAAATGACGCCTGGCTGGAATGCTCCCCAGGGAGTGGGGTGCATTAAGAGGGCCTGCGGTCCTGAAATGCGCTACAAGAGATGAACTATTATTATTATTATTCATATTTCAATATTTTCAGAATGATGACAATACAACCTGTACAGGTAATGTACCAAACTCAAATTAACAGTCTCCTAGCACATATCGATATACCGTATTGTCTGCATATATTTATTAGTAGGTGTCTAAGAAAAGATTTCATGTGAATCATACATGTCATAACATTCTACTAATAAGGCCTACATCTAAAGACAGCATTGACAAAACAAGCACCCCTGCATGCTCTCCATCCCGACAAGGTGTCACAACAATTTGGAACAATGTCACTGCTTCTCTCTCTCTCTCTCTCTTTCTCTTTATCTTCTGCTCTGTAAATGTACACACTCTACATTTTCTGTAGAGTACCCGCTGAATAAATTGATTAAAGGGCCTCTTCACACCGTCAGTCTGTTGACAAGCAGTCCTGTGCAAATTATTTGACCAACGGTTTACAGTCAGAGACGTGTTGCTTGGTAAATAGCTCATAAAGTACAACCAGTGAAATGAACACATTGTAAATTGATATACAAGAGATGAGATACAGGACAATTAGTGCGTCATTTCGAAATGGTCGTTAGCAACGGGTGATGATGCCCTAGCAACCTGTCTACGCCATGTTCTGCAAATATTCAGAGAACAATCTGAAGGAGAGTTGTACCCCCTATCAAAGGACCTGGAGGTCTCGGGTGTGTACTTACGTGTGAAGCAGGACTTTCATCGCTTGTTCAAATTAGCCCGGGATGACAAAGGCGTGATGCCAACCAAGTGATTTTCACATTACTGTGAGAGGTCCAGACAAAAAGTAAACTCTCATGTTTTTTTTTCAGTCTCTACAGCATCTCATATTTGAGGTTCATGCTTTAGCTTGCTGATTGGTCGATGCCTGAAAGTGAGCTGAGCGTCTTCCTTTTCCCCCTCTCTCCGTCCGTCCCCTCTCTGCAGCTGCAGGAGTCTTAGGGTTTGGATTAGATGACAGATGATGCTTGCAAAAAGTACATGAAAGTTGGAATATGCAACGCGATATTCAATATCAAGTCCCCTCAGCAAATCATGTACTATCCTCCCGATACGGTGTCATACGATTACAGAATAGAGTCTGCTCGTCTCAAGTTTTTCCTCTGCATCTGACAGTGTAGCTACTCTTCGAAAACTTGAGGCAGATTCGAGATGCACAAGTTTCGCATTACTCTTGTACGGTGGTATCAGTGGTCATCATACTACACAAACTGTTATTATTCAAACCTCACTAGGAGCTCCACTGTCACAAAGTTCTGCGCTTCCTTGTTGTAAAGTGTTGTACCTACTAGTCAGGACTCAAAACTACCGTAACCGTCATCTTGTCCTGATGAAGAATGAAATATTACAAAACTGGCAGGTCTCACACAATCAAATTAAATCGCAAAACCTTGACATCTCAAACTTGACACTGCATTTCAATATCTGCAGCCAAGTATGAGAATCCAAACAGAAAAACTCCCCAAAGGTGCTACCATCGGGGTATATACCCTATTCAGTCTGTAAACCAGGGTACGGAGCTGGGCGAGTAATGTGCCTTGTTGACAAAGGATTCTGACAGACTCCCTGGCTAGGTGTGACAGAGTGCGGAGAGAGAGAGGGAGGGAAAGCCCTTGCCCTGGTTGGTAACAAATACTGATACGCCGCGTGACAGACGGCTGTTTGCGAACTCTGTACAGAGTGCAGCTGGTTTAGCAGTGTGAGGGGCGGAAATCCAAGTTTTTAAATTGATTGACTGATCGCCATATATAAGATGAGAATGTGTGCAGTTTCCATATATTCAAGAAGTTTGTGTTGCCAGTGTCTTACATCACTAATGGTTAATTCTCCCAGAATCACCTTCTCATGAACAAGAAATATTTTAATGTGAAGGAAAAAAAAGTGTAAATTGTTGATAGTGAAGATACAAACTACAGAAATAAAGGTAGATTGACAAAATGGAAAGTACACCAAATTGTGAAATGAGATGAGAAATTATGACTTTAAAAGCTATTGAAATATCTGGTTCTTAGCATGATGTTATTTGTAACCAACTAGTACATAGCCTAGTTATCTCCTATCATATGTATATAGGTTCTATTTCTATCTTCTATATTGCACATGTACTTTCACTGCACCCACTTGATCAATTTCGTGTGTACAATTATATAATTTAAGAGTTTGCCGCTATTCTCTCGAGGCCGCCATCGATTTCAAGCTTACCGCTCATGATGGCGGTCTCCTGCATTTTCTGTAATTTATCTTTCTTTTTTTTCATTGAAATTATATTTGTGTTTGTATGCATCTTATTCAATGTACTGTATAATTATGTAAAATGAAGAAATATTTGTTACTTTATGTATATGATTATGTTTCATTTTGAAAATGCAGAAATAAAAACAAACAACCAAACAAAAAACAAAACAAATGTATAGGTCTAATGTAAATGATGTTAAGTATCTGTTTTTATTTTTCTGTAAGGTCTGTTTGTTTACTTCACAAAAGAGGAATAGAGTCGAAGTTTAAATTGTGTGTGTGTGTGTGTGTGTTTTGAAAGGTCACCACTGAAAATGGTAAAATAGGAAATTTCAAGCAATTCAGTTAATTTCAAGCTGTTCAACAAGAACGTATTTTGGAATTAAAAACCCACACTATATTCTGAACACTTATACACAGAGGAAGATAAGAGTTGCTAAATTTACACACTATAGAAATTAATGCGATAAACAGTCTCTTAGCACCTGCCAGTCTGTTTATACACAGATGCAAGCACCCATGAAACCCCCCTTATCATGCTTAATGGTCATGAATAGACAACAAACCATAATAAAGCTGTAGCCATTGACCTGAACTGACCTATATATATCTGCTATTGATAGGGGGGTTAAGTAAACAGGTCCTGCTACTACATCAAACAATATTGAAACTTAAAAAATATATTGATAATTGCTTAGTAATGACCCTTGTTACACAAAGTTCTTGAGTATAATCAGTTGTTATTCATACAAACTCTTCCTCAGGAGCTACTGATATAGGCCAAACTATACACTTCGTCAAATTCATCTTTGTAGACAGGTGTTTCGTTGAATCATTGTAAATGTAATTTAAAAGAAAAATTTCAATGCGCATCTTACAATCTTCATATTCGATTTTTGGTGTTATATTCACTCAATCCTTCTTTTCTTACTATCTATCACTTTTCTTTGATTTTAGATTTTTTTTTTGGCATAAAATTTAAAATGGTACCGGTATTTAAAGTACCATTGATAAAGCCTTTTGAAAGAAGCCACAACTATTTTTTAAAGGAAATTGAGAGGAAGAAAGCGAAAGTGATTGCCTACCTCTTCGTTAGCCATCTGAAATTCCTGAGCGACGGAGCATTCTATTGTAGTCCCGGGGAGGAGGTCGAGTGTTGAATACGGAGGGGGCATCTCGTGAGGCGCTATGGGCAGGACGGGTGTAGGCGTTGAGAGGTCGTCTAAGAAGTCCGGTCCCTCTATGATGATGGGATCGTTGGAGATCTCCGTGTATTCGGGCGGAGAGTATGGGGGCGGTGGGACTAGGGGAGGGGTAAAGACGGAGTCTATTACACCCCCTATGTCACTAATATAAGAGTCTCTTGCTATACTGCCCGTGTGATGAGGCCTTCGTAATACCATCTGTGAATGAAATTTTGAAAAAGAAAAGCGACGATGAGCAGTTTGAATCTATAAACATGAAAATCACAATATTCTATAAAAAGAAATATAAATTCAAAGTATTCACTTTGTAAATCAAGAGCAAGATCTGTAGGTCAACATGAGATTAAAAGAGAGCAATAAGAAAAAATAACAAAAAGGAATGCATTGTAATAAAAGAGCAAATTAAATTTGAAAAGCCCATTAGAATCATTCTACAAGACCATGCATACTTTCTATTGCCTGATTATCTAAACATTCACTTTTCAAAAGACAAGAAGAACATGATTGCCCACCCATGCTGTAGAAGAGAAAACAGGAGGCAATTCTTCAGAAAATGAAAGTGATTTATCACTACATTCTATTGAAATAATTGGTAACGATAATGTTTGACAAGCTCTGTAACCATTAATCTCTTTTGACAGAGCAAACCATAGGAGTAGGTGTGATATAAATAACATACAGGGGGAAATTCTTGGTATAGCCAAATCTGCTTGATTCTTTTAACCACTATTTCACTCCCGCATGGTTTGATTTTGTCATTTTCATATTACCCACATCATGAATGTAGTTAGTCATTTCATGAATTTACATTTTACTGGATTTACATATCATGCATAATATGCTGGTCAATGACTGTATGACTTTCTTTATGTACAAATTGGATGATGGAAGAGTGCAATCCACATTATTTGGGACAAAACTTTCTCCAAATATCTGTGATCCTGTTACTGAATATCTCATAAATGACTAAAGAATGTTGGAAGCAATGCCTTGGGATTTCAAGGAATTTTAAGAATGTCTCTAAAAAAAACTCTCTAAACTGAACTTGGATGCCAGATTTCGGAGAATTAAGATGCAAAACTATACTATGAGTTTGAAAGTGTATATTTCTTTATAAGTAAAAAGAGAACATGTATTTTATCTTGCATCTTATATCTTGAATTAAAAAGGGCGAAACTTTCTCCAAATATCTGTGGTTCTGTTACTGAATATCCCATAAATGACTGAAGAATGTTGGGGAGCGCTGCCTTGGGATTTCAAGGAATGTTAAGAATGTCTCTAAAATTGAACTAGGATGCCAGATTTCAGAGAATTAAGATGCAAAACTATACCATGAGTTTGAAAGTGTATATTTCTTATGTATAAAAAGAGAACAGGTATTTCATTAGATTGCGTAATCATGATTTGATGAAATTCCTTGAATTTTTAGAAGAGGAGGTTAAAAGTTACCATGAAGGAAGGAGGAGGCAGACAACTACAGAAGGCAAACTGAAGTATTGAAGAAATGTCATGAATAATGTTGTTTGAACAATACTTTCTCTAAATAAATATTCCACGATGACAAAAAGATGTTGTAATCCTTTATCAAGAATCTCTCTACAGAACAGCAGGTGGATCTGCACATGACAGACCACATTATCACTAAACATCCATTCTAAGGACTTAATAAATTGTTTAAATATAGCAAAACAGTCCATTTTATCAGCATGAGCAGCTGCCATGTATTATTACAAATGTATACAATAGATTCAGTTTCTGTGAAAGTAGCTTAATAGAGTGGATACATAGGATGAGTAATTAATTCTTTGATCTCTACTTTCTACAAATGTCTGGATCTGAGCATGGAGATTTAAAACCTGTAATAAGCAATTAATCATTGCATCAGCGATTGTCAATACATAGATTTTGACACAAACAAAGACCTGCATATGTATCAATGATTTTTCTTTCTAAATTCTAGTTTCAAGATTGCACAATATTTTAGAGGGTAAGTTTGGAAACCGCAGACTCTTTGATGATTTATTAGAACAAGCCGCGTGTTCCGTTCGTTCGCATTCCTATCTGTCATTGAACCTGGGTGTTCAAGTATGACATTCGTTTGTTTCTCTTTCTTTTTCCATGTTTTCCCTTCCGTTTTCTCTGTTTATCAGGTAACTTTGAACTTTTTTGTTTGGACAGAGAGGGTAGAACAGGTGGCATAAAGCCAGGAGCCCAGCCAGGACAGAGACTGGAGATTTGAATGGCATGTAGAAATGATGCCAAGATGGTGTCATTAATAAAACCAGAACAAATTCTTGGGCAAAGGTTAAGTATGATAAATGGTTCAGGATAATAATGATAAAAAGGGCCTCTATGATATTCATTAATTTTAATAGCTAAATGGTGTATACAGCTACACAAGAGGCAAGGGCATGTTTGGGTTCATAGAATTGGGTTCATTCTAATTGTGAAATGAGGTACTTACGGGATTTTACCATTTCAGAAATGCCTTTATACACATGTTTTGCTTTTTTGGTTATCTAGGAGTGTTCTAATTAAAAAAAATTAAAAAATCTTTAAAGCGTATCTGCCATAGTTTACAGGAGGGATTAGACTGCCCTGCAAGGTCACTGGACAGGTGGTTATCTCATCAACTCAGCTCTCAGTTAACATAAGAAAAAGAGGATCATGGGGGACCAATGGTCACCGATTAGGCATGGTTTGTTATATAGAGGGCACAAGTAGTTACAAGTAGTGTAGTGGGCCTTTAACTTAAAAGTATTCAATTCACTAGAGATAAAAAGCAATTTTGTAGTGCTTGTAACCACCTAACCAGCATCTTGTTGTTATATATGCTGAATGTTAAGTTTTTTACAAGTTTATTGAATGATTACATAATTGCTTTCCAGGATATCCTTACAAGATTTTATGTGTGCTAATGCTCTAATGGGGTTTTCTCAATCAAGGTTTAAAAGTCTCATTTTGTTTGCCACAATCAGTCATAATCTTAAGTTTGTGGTTTACATCACAAAAAAGAATCTAATCTTTTTGGTAATGAATCTATCCAAATCTTCTACAAAGTATAATGACTAATGAGTATTTGCTATATGACTAAACACAGCTTAAAACCAAGGCCAATACCACTGAAACTCCAACTACCTCTTACTAAATCCCTTGAAAAAACGACCTTGGTTTAAAAGCATTGTACTATACATCAATGAAACTAGTTTTATTATCATTTAGAGGAAGAAGTAACATGGAATAAATGGTCTACTGATCAAGCAGAACAAAACCGGTCCTCCTATTAAAGATTAACGCTTCATTATCTCACCAGCATTCAAAGAAAGAACAGATGATCCATCATCTTTAGTTACTTATTTTACTTCCCTCCCTCTATTCATGTCATCTTTCTCCCTTTGAAAGTCCTACACCCTATTATAAACCTCAAACTCTTTTCACAGAACAGTCCTATTATAAAACAAATTTCTAGAAAGACATTGAAATAGCTTTGGCATGGGGTAGGTGACGTCACTCTATGGCTTTGAAAGGGCACAAGATTATTACGAATCTACTACGCCATTTACATCATTCAGCTACTGATATTTTGTTTGCAGAAGCTACTTTGTACATTCCAGACCTATTGTTACACAATGTGAAGCTGAAACACACACACAAAGAATTAAGCAATACCAACATTTTTGTTCAAGGTTTTGACAGATTTGGATTGAGTTCAACCTTCGAGGGTGATCCAAGTGTGTCATTTAGGAACTGCTTTTTCTTGCACTATCATCCTTCTAACCTTTGATTAAAAAAATTAACTTTTAATTCAAAGAAAAAAGCATTATGCTGAATGATATTTCCTCTTTTCTTGGAAATAAAGGTTATTCTATTGTCAGTGGATCTTCTTTAAATTTTTATTGAAACTTCTTTAAATTTTCATTGAAACTTCTTTAAATTTCCATCGAAACTTCTATAAATTTCCACTGAAACTTCTATAAATTTCCACCGAAACTTCTTTAAATTTCCACTGAAACTTCTTTATATTTCCACTGAAACTTCTTTATATTTCCACTTAAACTTCTTTATATTACCACTGAAAATTATTTTAATTTCCACTGAAACTTTAAACCATGTTAATGTATCTTCTCTTCAAAATAAGTTATGGAGTGATATAGAATATAAAAAAGAAAATGGTGGACATCGCAAGAAAAAACGAATCAGTGTAAGCATGCAGCTAGATGTGTTATTTCAACAGTCCATATTCATATCTTGTATTTCATTATCATAAAACTGATAACCTGAAGGCAAAGGACTCTTCCAGAAATCATCAAATTTTTCTCAACTAAACAAAATTTTAGATAAATCATCACTGGTTTAGGGGGGTATTTTCTGTTTTCATACCTTCTTTCTTACCTTTCTATTTAAATATAATGCATAATATCACATTCTAATCAATAAGAGTTTTTCACTTCCAATTCCTTCACAAAACTCTATGTTAAGTCATTATTGTGAAAAAATTCTGTTAACATTCCATTTTCATTGCAAGAGGAAAAGTGTTGAACCCACCCAGTTTATTATTGAAGCCAAGTTCATGATCAAACACCAATTCAAGGTCATAATTATTTCTACTCCTCCTCTTTCTGAGAATGAAATAGTAGAACACAAATAAGATGACCCAATTAATTCCAGCGCCACTATCAATATCCGTTCACTCTCTTTGTAACGATACAAATAGAGAAAAAGTGTCTTTGGTATATCCGTCCGGGCTTTTCAGAAGCACATAGGAGTATTCAATCACACAAATAATTTTGTCTTTTGTGACGATTTCAAATGGAGATATTTCCAACAACTGTTGCAATTTGTAAAGAATATTGCTGTATTTCTATATGGATATATCTATCAGTATATCAGAATGGGGGAGATGTGAGTAATAAAATGGCATGTAGAGGAGCTAACAATATTATTATTATTAAAGGCATCATTTAACAATGTTAAATCTGAGATGCACGGCCCTACGTGTTATCAGTGTTTGTGATATGGTGTAATATTGAAGCCCTAAAAAAAATTGCGCTTCAAAATGTTCATGAAGTGCCTCAAAAAAGTAAATATCTTCGAGTGACCACTTTTACCATACTAATTTTTCCCAATAGACTGTAGTGTTATAAAAACTGTTAGGAAAACAATTTCTGAAATTTCAAATTCGAATCATTGATATCTTGATAATCGGTCAGGCTTGTTAAAGTCATGGGATTCATGTATGACCTAAAGGTTTATAATTATGATTGCAGCATGAGCTAAATCCAGTATCATGTTTAGAACCCGAGGCAAAGTTACCCAGACCCTTTAAAGGAAGGTGTGGACTGAATATACTTAACCCTCTGACTACTGACTTCTCACATTCCCATAGACTTAACACAGGGGCCACTCAGTTCTCATAGGCAAAGGGCTAAGAATTTGAGGAAAAACCACAAAATTGGACCACGACTGGAAGCTGCAAATCACAAGGCATTTCAAGAGAGAGAGAGCAACATGTGTAGATCAAGATAACGAGGTGCCTCTAGCAATGCCCATTAATTGTGCTAAGTATGCATTGGTAATAGTTGCAAATTGCAAGAAATATAAAGATGGTGCACCTGGGGGGAATATATAAATGATAGCCCATAATATTCTAATGGCAATATTACAATCAAGATGTACATTTGCACAATCTTTAAGTGCCGATTAGCATTCCAGTCTAATTACATTCATTACAGGAACGTGAGAGAAATTTCTTTGGATTTCAAAGTTGGCAGTGATACTTCCCTGCCCGTGGGCGTGACATAACATCCATTAACTTCCATTCTTATGTGAAGTGAGAAAATTTAGATGGGATTACAAGGCTTGTCCGATATTTGTGGTTACTTTCCAGAGGAATTAGCTATATATATATGGGCATTTCTGTATACTCCTTTTGGTGGGTGATCTGGTCCCCTAAAGCACTGGTGGCTTGGCTTCTGTATGTGACCTAGTTGTTGTGATTGTAAGAGTCTCTGACCACTGACGGATGGATGATGAAGATCAAAGGAAGTCAACAAGACAAGAAGATACTTGGATGATTGGATATTGGTATCTTACATAAAAATATGAGACAGGGATATTATAGGGAAGCGAGAGAGACAGAGGAGATGGAGATACAGAGAAGAAGGGGGAGATGCATGATGTAAAGCCAGTGTAATAATATGATTGCAGGGCCCTCAGGGAAAACAGTATTAATACTGATGAGGCTACCCTGAGTAAACAAGATGTGTAATTATCATTATCACTATTATTATTATTGTTATGATTATGATGATGATTATTATCATTATTGTTGTTGTTGTTGTTAGTAATAGTAGTAGAAGGAGTAGTAGAAGTAGTAGCAGTAGCAGTAGTATGTATATCAGAGAGAAAGAGATAGATAGAGAGAGAGAGAGAGAGAGCAAGAGAGAGCGAGAGAGAGCAAGAGAGATGGCAACATGAAGACCAAAGACGGACAAGGAAGGAGAAACTAAAAAGTCTCAAACAATGGAACTTTAAGAATAAACTTCAAATTGTGATGATCATTGGCATCAAATGAGATAAGGTAGAGAATAAGAGGACTGTCAGAAATAGCCCTCCAGTCTACCTTCAAGGGAAGCTTTGTAATATTTTCATACATCTCAATATCAAAGATGAAGTTGTCTTACCCTTCTATTAGCATGTCTCTTGACAATATAAGCGCAGCCGACGATGGTGGCTGCTATACAGATCAGACACGCTACAATGTTTGCGACACAGATGATGAACATCACCAGTCGTATCGTGGACGAGATAGTGGAACAATCTTTGACGCCCTCCACCGAGATTGCATTTTCGGTGGGGGTGCATGGAAGCGAGGAGGTACAGCAGTAACAGACCAAAGTGCCAGGGTGCTTGGTGCATCCTGTCAAGACCTGAAGCTCGGCACAGCTCAGACCTGATAGGGCGGTTGCTACGAGGTGAAGGACGACACATAATGCTGATAGGAAGGTGAAGAAACTTATCTGTAATGAAAGAGGATAAAAAAAAAGAAGAAAGACAAATTTTAATGAAGAGTACTTGTATCATTACAACATTATTAGAAAAACATTGCTCCAACATGAGCAGAATTTTTTTTTATTAATCTGTGGTGAAATTCACTGTTTACATAGTCATTTTTGTCAGTATCATACTGCTGTTCATTTCAATTTTAATTTTCCCAAAGAGCATCAAAAATAATGTCCAAATGTCGAAAAACAATTGAATAGCGGTATGTTAAGTATTGGCCGAGATATGACCATCCAATAAATAACATTACGAACCAGAGCAAAATAACACTGAGTTACTATAGGAAATCTATTTATTCAAATGGTCATATCTCAGCTAATATTTAACATATTTCAATAGGTTTTCGACATTTGGACATTATTTTTGATGTTCTTTCGGAAAATGAAGAGAAAAAAAACATTTGAAAACATTCTAAAAATAGATTTTTGATGATGTCACACTTCACCACTCTTTATAGCTAATTTGGACATCATTTATATGGATGATATGATATGGCATCACAGCTGACTTTCTGCAAGAAAAGGGGTTGTTTACAATAAAAATAGATGTGATTCATACATCCATGACCTACTAACATAAAAGGTTTGTTATCCTACATTCCTCCATTGCATACTAATTGCTATTCCATCAACTCGCTTCTACTTTACCCTTAAAGCTGAATTATCTGCCGTAGTTTACAGAAGGGATTAGACCGCTCTGCAAGGTCACTGGACAGGTGGTTATCTCATCAACTCAGCTCTCAGTTAACATAAGAAAAAGAGGATCATGGGGGACCAATGGTCACCGATTAGGCATCGTTTGTTATATAGAGGGCGCAAGTAGCTACCAGTAGTGCAGTGGGCCTTTAAACTTTGCCTAAAATAATCACACGTGTGTTCGCATCTCATTCGGCCATCTTCCTCGGCCGCTACCCTCTTCCCCGTCCCCATCTCCCTCCCTGGGCGCATATCACCGAAGCGATATCCAATCGGAGGAGAAAGCTCCTGGCTGTTTCTCGGCTGCTTTCATGGGCTGAGGCCAAGGGAACATGGGTGATATTGAAACAAGGCGCAGATGGGCTGATTAAACAGGAGCAGACGCACTTTGGTGAAACTTGAGCAAATAGGGAAGAGGTTGTAAGGAGAAGATGTGACTCGGCACATGTGTTCTTTTACCCAAGAAGTCAATAGAGAAACCAAGTCTGAAATTGAATCTCATATCAGAGTAAACAGGAACGAAGTAGAGAAGAAAAGTTTCTATCAAGCAACTTAACCGACCAACTTGTTCTATTTCACCCTATCTTCATTATGTACATAACAGCATGGGTTTGCTACATTCTACTGCTGTGCATAATAACCAGATACCTAGCACAATAACATCTATATGCAACAGAAGAGATAATGAGCAAGAATTATGCATTCTAGAAAAGAATATAAGATGTTTAATATTTATTGTCATTGACTTTTTTAAAAGAAAAGATGAACTCTGTGCGTATAAGAGGTAGTTTACCAATCATCTTTTACATTCATTAATAATAAAAAATAGCTTTTACTTTGTATTACCCCGGTAATGATAAATTGTAATCTTCAAACATGTACCCTTTTCTCTTCTACCTTCCATTATACCATGTACCTACTATCTATGTGGTAGGTCCATGATTATACCAAGGTATTTTTTTTTTTTTGGAAAGATTCTCTGTCACAAGCACACAATCACATTGTTATTTTCTACCACTAGATGGCAGTATATCACTTCACCATTCTCTCCACATTAACGACATCAGTACAGCTCAAATTCACTGTTGTCACAAGAGGGGGCTATACCTCAATGCCTACAGCACTCATCTATTCTTTATTTAATTATTTTGTTGAAATAAATCTTCATCAATATTTTCATCATCACCATTATCATGACTTACTACAACCTTGTTTCCATTGTGATCTCTTTCAAATCAAAATTATCATCTCATCAGCTGTTACAAAACATCATTAATCATTACTTCAAGGCATACATACTCCACATATGATATTGAAACTCAGTACATCCCATCACCTCTTTATCCATAATAATGACAAAACCAATTAGTTTCATACAAGAACACTACGAATTGCTAATGGCCTTTATCCTTTAACATACAAACGGCCTGTCCTCATCAGCTCGAGATTGCCAAATAACCCGCTATTTTAACTATCCCGATCGCAAATTATCCCGCTAATTTGCGTTTTCATCAGCCCACAGTTGCAGTTAACGGGATATTTGGTCGAGATAATTATCCCAAGATATCTTGGGCTAGTTTGTAAAATATCATGCTATTTAGCAAAATATCCCGCTATTTGTCCGGTGTGTCATCACCAGCCTGAAGACTCACACTATTCAGGAACGCTGAGCAAAATATCTCGAGCTTGAGTTTTGAGTTTCGAGGTCTAGTCTCGAGCTGATGAAGACGCCATTTGTAACTTCGGGCTTATTTCCCAAATCAGAAACAGCGGGCTATTTGGCAATCTCGAGCTGATGAGGACTTACCTAAAGATACATTTCATATGAAATTGAAACTGATTTATTTCACACACACACAAAAGCAATCAAACCCAAAAGCAATAATGCAGATCTATAATTGAAGAAGTCAATCAGTTACTCTGCAACTGTTATTACCCTGACCCTGCATGGCTCTTATTAATATTCATAAGTGCCACATGCAAGGGTTAAACGTCGTCTTCGTATGGCAAAAAGAAGCTCCTATCTAATGGTTTCAATTTAGCTAGAGTATGATGAAGAGAGACCTGGTGGAACTAATTTCCCTTCGGACTAATACAGTTTTGATGGGTCTAGCAGTCGCTCTTCAGTTTATATACCATCTGGACCATCTTCCTCATCTCTGCTTCTATGCACGACGTACATCACTTGCTCTATGTTACGAGGAAAACCTTATAGCACACAACATTTGTCAATGTCTTATCTTATGTTAATATTATAAGGCATCCCTCGGGAAGGGGAGGCACCCCAAAATTTGGAAATAAAATTACAAAGTTGGCATAAAATGCATATTTTGAAGTATGATCTTTACACTGTCAAACATCTTAGCAATCTGTAGATCCAGGGGGAGGGGGTGCTGTGGTGAAGGGGGCTGACAATCCTTGATTTGCCCATCCAATATGTATATGATACAATATACTTTTTCCAAATAGCTAAACATTGCGTTTATGCTTAACATTTACATTGAAATGACAGTGCATAATGGATAACATAAAAGTGAAATAATATATTGTTTAGACTTTTAATTTGGAAGACAATCATTGCTGTAACAAATATTTAGGATTAAGAAATGAAAATAAAATTATCAAAAATTGTCATAAGGCTTTACTTGATCTTTTTTAAAAGAAAAGAAAATATATACATATAACGGTCAAAAAGAGAAAAGGTTGAATCATTCATAAATTAAGAGTACTGTTTTAGGAGTCTTCAAGAGTAATTAAAAAATTGTCATGATCAGTGAAAAAGTTTTGATCATATGTGTTTCATTATATACGTAAATAATTGCCATAATTCATGATGTACCATATAATTCCATATGACCTACATGTACATGTGTATTACATGCATGTCTTGCATGATGAATACAGAGTGGTCAATTAAGTATTCTTGATATTGATGTGTGGCTCATTGTATCTGTTTCAGTCCATAATTCCCTAAGTAATCACAATGACAGGATGAGGACGATGAATGATACCTCAATCTTAGTCAACCATCCCCAGAAGACCAAACTCTCAAATTAAGACCCCAGGCTATTGCTTAACATAGATACAAGAGTATGTCCAAGACGTAATTAGAATGCCAAACACAAACTTGTCATCATTCCTCCCTGGGTAATACCCCTTGAAACATGAGTCATCGAAATTAACCTTATTTTCATGAATGCCTGTTTATCATAGCGTATCACTGCACATCATAACAACCCCCGGGGGCCCAGGGGGAACCCATTCAAATGTAATGTTGTCAATACTCATTACAAACATGCAATGGAGGGCAATGTTCCCTTTATCTCCCATACTACTGATAGTCTATAATAAACTTCTTATCATTTATAACCAGTTTTTTAATCATCTAAAATCTAAATGATCAAAATATATCTTGCTCCAGATAATGAAAACTAGAAATAGGTGCATTTTCCAGTTTTCAATTGGTCCTATTTTGCAACAAAAACAAAAACAAAAACAACAAAAAATCTTTTAGAAAAACAGGTTCAAGTAAATATATTTGATACTGTAGTAATGTGTTTGGTAACACTTTTCTGCCTTTCTCTTTCTGTTTAAATTATTAATTTCATTGCTAGTAATTAAGACTAGTAATACTGATTCTTGTTATTTTTGTCCACAGATTAAGTAATGCATTGATGAACACCATCCAAAGTATGTTAAAGCCCTACTACTTATAATGCCTAATTGGTGCCTGTTGGTCCCCCATGATCCTCTTTTTCTTATGTTAAGTGAGAGCTGATTTGATGAGATAACTACCTGTTAGGGAGGTCTAATCCCCCTTGGCCAAACTAGTGCAGACGGGCTTTAAAAGCCTGTTTACACTAATGTACATCTCTCATATGTACACAATATAAAGACATCCAACCAAAATAACAGCCCTAATTCACTGCTCTCTAGATCACTGGCGAAGTACATTTCTTGAAATCACTTACAGAGTAAGTTACATTTGTAAATGTCACATGTACTACCTCAATGCTCCCACGTATGATTACCAATGTCATCCTATATCATGGAGTATATGTTTATAGAGTAGATTCAGGCTAGGTGGTCATTGATCTCAGTAAGTAAACAAGTCTCTTATACTCTTTTCACACTGGTTTTGCTTAACCCCGTACTTTGCTTAGCCCCGTACTATCCGTAACCCCGGACTATTTTTTTGGCTTTTCACACTCGCTGTTTTTAGTCCCGTACTAGCGCCTATTCCGGAATAAGAAAATTCCCGCTGTTCTCACTGCATTTCGTTAACCCCGGATATGGT